AGGCCCGTGTTGACAGGAAGGGGGGAAGTGGATGAGAGATGATTTGTTCCCAGTGGTGGCATGTCTAGTAATTGGCAGGGCCAGATCTCAGTCCCAGCTCTTGGGCCACCCAGTCCAGGCCCTGCTGCGTACGCAGACGTCCAAAAGACTATTGGAAAGTCATGGATGGATGTGGTGTAGTAGGAAGGGACGGGGGTCAGTAGGCCCAAGGCCTACCACCTGCTCCTAACCTGTGTGACCTTCGGCAAGGCCCTTCTCCTCTCTGGGCCTTAATTTCCTCACCTCTAAAATGTAGGGTTCAACAAGATGGTCTTTCTGTCCTTAAATCTCCTGATCCTTTGATTCCACAGAGTTGGAAATTACTATTTAAAAGGCGTGGTTATGTAAACTGGCATGATCAGGCAGGAGGCTGGAGGCAGGGTAGTTTAGGGGCCCAGGACTGAGAGCTGATTTCCATACCCAGCTTCTGGCCTAACTGTCTGTGAGGCAAGTCTTGCATTACCCTCTCTGAGCCTCCAGTTTCTTCATGTATGAAATGAGGACGGTCTCTTCTGCTTCATGGGGCTTGTTACCGGGTCCAAAGGAGTTGACAGGCATGAAAGAACTTTCAGAGCTGGCCAGTGTCACACAAATGCCAAGATTTCAGGGACCGCCTGTTTTCAACTCCACGGAGGATGGAAGAAGACCTTGTGCATTATCAGGGAGATCAAGACAGAAAGCAGAGTTTACTCCCACTGGAGTGTGCTTGTGAGGGCAGCCAGGCATCCTCTCTGGCCACTTCCCTGTGTGAGAGACTTTACCTGTAGTCTTCCCTAAAGGTGTGAGGATTGATGAGATGACCTCACCCACATTTCTGCAAAGTCCTGGTTGTGAGGAGGTATCAGGGCCAGAGCACTCCTCTCTTCCAGGCACACTAGAAGCAGCCTGAATGTATCCTAGGTATTTTTGGAGGAATCTTCATGGTTAGCAGGTGGTGGGACGGGAGTGAGAGAAAGGGACATTCAGGGAGACAAGGACAGCAGGAAAAAGTGCACTTTTGTAAAGCTGCTAGCCTGGAGCTGTCTCTGTCCCGATGCCAGCCTTTCATCTCGGGTTCACCTTTACACCTTTCTTCCTCCAGCCCACGGTTGTCTCTGTGAATTTGGGATGTTTTTACCAACATCGTGTTTTTTGCACTTGATGTTCAAGGTGTCGGTTGCCCTTTGAGCCACGTGTTCCCAGCCTCTGTACCGTTTAGGAGTGTGAGATGACCCTTTGGGCTGGTGTTTATGGGCATCTTGGGTTTCACAGAGGTGCTGGAAGTGTCACTGAATCTGTTTCGTACATTACACTGTGTGATGGCCTCCTCTGGCGCCTCCTGGTGGCTGTGGTCAGAGAGCACACTCTGGGCCACTGGGGCCCCATCTGGACGTGGGCACAGGATTTGCGTGTCTGGTGGGAGTAGAACCCTCCCAGCTAGGAAAGCAGGGCTCCTTGAAAAAGTGCAGTTAATGGAGATGTATTTAGGTAAGATGCTTCTAAAGCAGACATTTGAAAAATCAATCATCATTCCAAAGTCATGCAATGAAATAGGAAGCTGCTTCACAATGAGAATCACAGCTCAAATTTCAATGCGAAATCCTCGTTTTCCTCATGCAGTTGGGTTTTACAGATGAGAAAGCGGAGAGCAAAGAGGCAAAATTGACTCATCCTCAATTGGAGGGCCGGCAGCTCAGGGCTTCTGACTCTGTCGCTGTTGGCCGGGCCTCATAGGCAGAGGGTGCTTGGTTAGTGTTTGTGGAACCGTTCCCTTTCTTGGCCTGTTTTCTGTGCTTAAAACATGCCTAGTTTTTAAGCAAGCTTATGTGTATTTACACTATCTCAAACCCATGTGTGACAAGGCTGTGATTAGTACAGATTCATCATCTCTTTACACATTGGGAAGCACACACACATTGGTGTGTAGTCAGGATGTGAGAATATTTTGTAGCCATGTGGGCTGGGGTGAAGTGGTGGGTTTGTGTGAACACATGTGTAGAAAATAGAAAAGCTTTCCCAAAAGTATTAAGAAGTTTGAGAAAGGAGAGAAAAAGACAACAGCCACTTTGTAGCCTGTGGCAGCTATAATAAAATAAGAATGTCTGGATAATCTTTCTCAGTTCCACCCTGCTTTCTTCCACGTTCTTCAGGGAAACCGCACTGCCCTCTGTCCCTGCTACATGACAGGGACATGCCGTACATGTAATTTCTCAGAACATTCGTCCTGCTCCCAGACAGGTCTTCACCTGGGGAGCAACTTCTGTGGAGAAAGAGCCAGCCATTCCCATCAACTGTCACACACACACAGGAGAGGCAAGCCAGCCTCACCGAAGCATCAGGGCCCCGTGAGGGAGAGACAGGAGGCAGCAGGGGTCAGGCTACCACCTTGACCATCATCCCCCATTAGACCCTGATGGTGACAGCCCAGGAGCCCGAGCCCATGAGTCTTGGAAATAGCCATGCTACGAGCCCAGCCCTCGGCCACCATCCTGGGAAGCCCCCCCCGGGGAGGGGCAGCTGGGGGCGCAGCTCTTTCCTGCACAGTCTGCAGCCACAACTCCAGAAGACCCAGAAAGGAGAGTTCTTTTTACCGCAGTCCTTGGCCCTGGCCAATGGTCCAATGCCATAAAATGATCTGATGTCATCATTGGCAATGACATTGGAGACAAGGCCTGACCATCTGCTTTACCCTGGCACCCTAAGGACCGTGGGACGTGCCTTCCGCGTGTGTGTCACCTCCATTAGAGTGTGAGCTCTTTGATAGCAGAGACAGTCTGACTTCTCTGTTTGTATTCCCCATGTTTTGCACAGAGTAAGTGTCTGATAAATGTTTTATACTTATGCCCATTTGCCCAAAATGTGCAGATTCTCCCCTCCTTCCCTCTCTGTTTCTGGCTTTTCAAATCCTACTCCTTTAATGCCCAGATCAAATGCTAACTATCCTTGTGTGAAGACTTCCCTGATTCTCTCAGTTGGATGGATTTTTCCTTCCCATGACCCTACATAACACTGTGTACCTTGCATCCTCTTTCACTCTATTCTGATCTATAGATGTTATGTTATGTCCCCTATTTGAATACATGTTGTGTCCCCCTGACTAGAGAGAGAAGCTTCTCGAAGGCAGGAAGCCTGTCTTAGCTTGTGTCTCCTTGCCTACTAGGACAGTGTAGGCTATTAGTCCAGGGGTGGGAAACCTGAGGCACTCTTTTTTTTTTTTTTGCTTTTTTTTTGATGAGGCAATTGGGGTTAAGTGACTGCCCAGGGTCACACAGCTAGTAAGTGTCAAGTGCCTGAGTCCGGATTTGAACTCAGGTCCTCTTGACTCCAAGGCCGGAGCCCTATTCACTGCACCACCTAGCTGCCGCATGAGGCACTCTTAATAAAAGGATTTGTTCTGTGAAGTTTGGATTCAATCAAAGGGCCGCACTTGAGGACCTAGAGGGCCACAGGTGGCCTCAGGGGCTTCGCAGGTTGCCTGCCCAGTTTGGTATTTGTTAAGCAGCTAGCCCGAGGGCCAGGGATGAGGCCCCGTGCTGGAGACAGACCATTTCACTTGATCATCTCATTAGATCCCTAGGATTTAATTAATTTAATTTAATTACTGTGCTGTTAATTCTCATATCTCCCTTTCCCGCCCCAGTCTCTCTGATGATCTCCAGTCTGTTATCTCCAACTGCCTTTGGATGTCCAGTAGATATCTTAAACTTCCTGTATCCGAAACTAAACTCATTCTCTTTCCCACCTTCCTCCCTCTTATCTTCCCACACCATCCACCCCAGGAGTTATCCTGGATTCCTCACACTCTCTCACTGCCCATGTCCAAGCTGTTGCTTTAAGGCCTGAGACTTCATCTCTGCCGCATCTGTCAACTATGCCCTCCTCTGACACTGCCCCCAGCCTAGGCCGACCCTCATCACCTCACACTTGGATTATTGTGATGGCTGCTGGGGGAGGAGGGGTCTGCCTGCCTCAGGTGTCTCCTCCAGATTTTCCTAAAGTTCAGGTCTGATCATGACACCTTGCCACCTCCCTTCCACATACACGTAAAATAAATTTCAGTGGCTCCCTATCACCTCCTGGATCGCATACAAAATGCTGCTCGGCATTCAAAGCCTTTCGTAACCTCTCTCCTCCCCTCTCCCCCTCAACCTTTCCAGTCTTCTTACACTTTACTCCCAACACATACTCTTTGCTCCAATGACCCTGGCCTCCTGGGTGTTCCGTCTCTTGGCTCCTAGCCTTTTCTCTGGCCGTCCTCCATGCCAGGAACACCCTTCCTCCTCTGTTCTGATTACTGACCTCTCTGGCTTCCTTTAAGACCCAACTAAAATCCCACCTCCTATAGGAAGCCTTCCCCAACTCCTCTTAATTCCAGTGCCTTCCCTCCCTTAATTCCGTCCTAGTTATCCTGTGTGGAGCTTGTTCTTACATGTTTGTTTGCTTGAGGTCTCCCCCTTTAGATTGTAAGCTCTCTAAGGGCAGGGACTGTCTTTAGCCTCTTTTTGTATCCCAAGCATGCTAAGGCACAGTGCCTGGCACATGGGAGGGAGGCCCTTCCTAAATGTTTATTGATTGTTTGACCTGAGAGATTTTTAATTGTTTTCAAACTTCTGAAGGTTGGAAGTTTTACTTCGTGTGCTTTGTTTTGTTTTTGTTTCAATTCCTGTGTTTTCCTAACACACCTATTGCCGTAAAATCCTGGCCCAGAGTCCAGTATTTGCACAGACACCTTCCTGGTGAGCGTGTTTATAGTGTTTATAAAGTGTAAGGTGTGTAAAAAGCAGAGACATAGCATTGAAAGAGCTTGTCAGGTCCCTCTGTGGTATCTGTTCGTCTGACAGTCGTTATTCTGGAGATGGAAGAAGGGATGGTCGAGGGAGGATTGTGCTCGGTCTGCTGGATTTGTTTTGGGAAGAGGAAGACCAGTCTGGGTCATGGAAGAAAGAGGAGGCGTATCTCCTAGTTTTCTTGTCTTTCCCTAGGAGCAGCAGCCCAGTTGGACCGATGACCTGCCTCTGTGCCAGCTCTCAGGGGTTGGCTCTGCTCCGAATCGTACCTATTCTGCCGATGGCAAGGGCACCGAGAGCCATCCGCTGGAGGATCACTGGCTCAAGTTCAGGTGAGAGGCTCGGGGCTGCTGCCCTGCACTGGGAGGGAGGCTCCCGAGCAGAAGCATGAACCCATCTCAGAGTTACCTGTGAGTGTAGGAGTCAGCCCAGTGACTTACCGACATGGGGCACCCACAGGACCCTGGTGTGGTGAGTCACTGCCTGTGGGCTCGGGGATGTAGCCTGGCATAGCTGCCCCCTACCGAGCGTGTTTCATTGCACGAAGGTGCCCCAGGCACCTACCCAGGGGGATGTGTCAGGGCCGATCGTGAGGGCGGGAACAGGGCCGAGGAGCACGGGGTCACAGGATGTGCGGGCATCAAATAGAATCCCCTCATTTTACAGAGAAGGAAACTGAGGCTCAAAGAGGGGAAAGGAATTGACCAAGATTGCATTGCTATGAGTAGGTGAGCCCAGCTGCAGTCCCGGGTCTTCTGGTTCTAAACCCAGTTCTCTCCTCCACGCGCCAGGTGATGGCCGACGCCGTGGAGCTGGAGAGCTCCTCCCTGGCTAGTCTCTCCCAGCCCCTGCGCCGATTCCCCTCCCCCGTGCCAGGTGGGCACACCGGCCTAAACCTCTCCTTCCTTTCCGACAGGAGTGAGAACAACTGCTTCCTCTATGGGGTCTTCAACGGTTTCGACGGCAGCCGAGCGGCCAACTTTGTGGGCCAGAGGCTGTCCGCCGAGCTGCTCCTGGGCCAGCTGAGCGCCGACCACAGCGAGGCCGATGTGAGGCGGGTGCTGCTCCAGGTGATGGCTGCGGGAGAGGGGGGGCCCGGGGACGGAGCTGGGAGAGAAGGCCTTGGCTGACGTCAGCCACGCAGGTTTCCCTGGCCCTGTGTTGTTACAGACTCCCTGCCACTGTTGGAAGGGACCTGGAGGGCGCCCGTCGTCACCCTTCCTATACCCTCGTGCTCCCCCTCCGCAGGTTCCCCCTTCTCCCCTCACTGCTGTCTTCCCCCACCAGCTCCTTCCCTCCTCTCTCAGGCACGGAGGTGGCCCTTCTTGCCAAGGCAAACCCCTCTCCATGGGCCCTTGGTCTCATCCCCTCCTGGCCTCGTCAACAGACTGCCCCCACACCATCCCAACTCTCTCTCTCCTCTTCAAACTCTCCCGGTCCAGCAGCTCCTTTCCTGCTTCCTCCAAGCACCGTTGCAGCTGAGGGCTTCAGGAAAGGCATCCTCTAGAAGGTGGTCCTTGGTCCCTTCTCTCCTAGAAGGAAGAGGGTGCTTCTGGGAAGCTCCAGGGTGGGGGGCATCTGTTGGGGAATAGTTGAACAGAGGATTGCACGTGGACAGATGGAATGAAATATTACTGTGCCCTGAGAAAGGATGAAGGCGATTGGTTCAGGGAAACCTGGGAAGACTTGCGTGAATTAGGGCAGGGTCAGGTCAGTCTGTCAACAGTCAGCAAGCATGCGCCAGGCCCTGAGCCAGGGCTGGAGACACAAAGGGAGGCAAAAACAGCCCCTGCCCTGCGGCAGCCCCCAGGCTAACTAGGGAGACAGGTGAAAGCTGCAAGATGCTTTCAAAGCAGATTTCCACAGAAGGCGTTAGCCTTCCCTGAAGAGGGCTGATTCCACCTGAGCCTGAGGAAGCCAGGAAGTGGAGAAGAGGAGGTGAGCCTCCTGAGCACTGGTGGACTCTGATGCTATCTCGCATTTGAAGACCAGTGTTGATGGAGGGCTCACTACCTGATCTATCTGTCCTTTCTACTCTGGGAGAGTTTTCATCTCCAAAGAGTTTTTCCTCACGCTGGGCCAAAAAATGCTTCTCTCAGCATCCCCCGAGCTCCCTGCTCTGCCTGTCCCTCCAGAGCCTGAAAGAACAGTGTCTCGCTCTTCCACAAAGCCATCCTTCAGGCATGTGAAGCTGTGCCATGCTCTTGTTCCTGCAAGCTTGCTCTTCTCCGGGCCCAGCATTCCCGGCTCTTAGCCGGAGATCCCGGTGGTCCCCTTCTGCTCACGGATGGCCATCCGACCCTGAGCTCTCAGCCCTTTCCCCACAACAACCACCCCGTGAGATACAAGTGTGTTGATAGCCCTCTTCTCGGGGAGGAGACGGGGTCCAGGCTTGGCCAGAGTCACCCAACCGGTGGGCCGTGGAGGCGGCAGCACCCTCTCCTGTGCCATGCTGTCTTTACGAGGATAGGCGTGGGGTTGGAGGAGGGCCACGACCCCATTCAGGGTGACCTTTCGTCACACAGCACACATGTACTGAGCCCCTGATCTTTGTAAGACATGGCACTGAGCAGCGCCAGCTTGTGGAAGTGAGTGCCCCTGGGTTGTTGGGCTGACACAGCCCTTTTCCGGCCCCAGTTGTCCCCCAGCATCCAGCCAGATGGGCATACTCTTTGTTTTTAGGATTGTGACTTTCTAAGCCTGGAGTGAAGTGACCTGGACTTCATTGGGTTCCTCATCCTTGTAATACCCCTGAAGAGTTAATCATGCTGTTACCTAAGGAAAGAATTTGGGAAATTAGATTAGTGAGTGCTTCAGGAGCAGGACCAGGGTTTGCTTTGACTCGCCTTCCTGTCCTTTGCTCTCCAGGCTTTTGATGTGGTGGAAAGGAGCTTTCTGGAGTCCATTGATGATGGTTTAGCTGAGAAGGCAAGCCTCCAATCCCAGCTGCCAGAGGTAACAGCTTCTCCTACCCACTCCCCCACCTCCCCAGTGAGGATGAGCCTGGGGTCCTGACTGAATCAAGGAGTTCTCTCTCCCTCGGTCCCCTGTTGGTCCCACACTACTCCGCTGTTTCCCATCAGGTGACCGGCCTAGCCGGGTGAGGCTACAGAACGTGACAGGTTGGTTTAGCTTTTAGCATCATAAGGGATCTTAGAGATCATCTGGCTCAGCTGTGTCATCTTACAGAGGGAGAAACTGAGGCCCAGAGAGACAGAGGGCCTTGCTTGAGTTCACACAAGTGTTGGAGAGCAGAGCTGAGATTCAGACCCCTCATCCTTTCCTGTCTCCCACATGGTCTGTCTCAGTGACCCTTGAAAGGCTCTGGGTCTGCAGCCAGGGGTCCCACCTAGGGCAGCCAGGAATCCACGTTGTGCTGCAGTGCTGACCTCAGGCCTCAGGCCCGCCTTCTCATCGCCCCCTGTGAAGTCTCTGGTGGGACGATTGGGTTTGTCTTGAGCCGTCCGGGCCCTCTCTGTGTTACAGGGGGTCCCTCAGCATCAGCTGCCATCTCAGTACCAGAAGATCCTGGAGCGGCTGAAGGTGTTGGAGAGAGAGATCTCCGGTGGCGCGATGGCTGTGGTGGCGATCATTCTCAGCAACAGGCTTTATATCGCCAATGTTGGTAAGTCTCCACCTGGTGGGGTGGGGGGAGTGAGAACATAAACCTGGGAATTCTGAGGGACAGAAGTCAGGCCGATTTGCTGGGGAGTCATTGTGCCTCAGACTCAGCCTCTGCTGAGGTCATTTGTGGGCGTGTTCCTGAGGAACTGGCCCTTGTGGGGTCTGGGCTCTTCCCAGAAGAGGCTGGTTACAATTACTTTCGCTCTCTGGGAAAGTCAGGGGGCTCCTTTGGTTGGAGAGCTGGGGGCTGCGGGCTTGGAACTCTGCATTTGACCATTCCTAGAAGAAGGGGATGGGCGTATTAAGGCATGACCAATAGAAAAGTAAAAGATGTCAATGTGCTTTTTTTTATTTAAAGAAAGAAAATGGCGGAAGGTTAGATATTTGGTCTTCTCTCTTGGGGTGGATCTGGAGACAGTCTCCTCCTGAGCGACGTGAATGGTGTTTGCCCGATTTGTTTTGTCTTTTCAGACAGCGGCTGTGTATTGAGATGCCTGCCTTCTCTCTCCCCTGCTCTTCTCTTTCTCACTCCATCCTTTCTGTTTAATCATTCTCCTTTCGGATCCTCCCCTCCCCTTCCGTAGCTGGCTGCTGACCGACTCTTTTGGTCCCAGGTACAAACCGAGCGCTGCTCTGCAAGGCCACCGGAGACGGGCTGCAGGTGACTCAGCTAAACTCCGAGCACACCACGGAAAATGAAGATGAGCTCTTTCGCCTGTCCCAGCTGGGTACGTGCCCTCTGCCCTCCCCGGGCACCAGGCCAACAGTGGGCAGCGGAGAACCTGGCAGAGCGCGCGGAGGTGGTCTTGGGTGGCTGGCGGTGCCGATGCTCCTCACTGGGTTGGTCTAAGTGGGATGTGCACTGGGGATGATAATGGATTCACATTCCTGGCAAATCTGGTTGGGGACCCTGTGAGGCTGGGGCTCTACCCCTTCCCCATGGCAGTCTCCGTGGGGACCCGTTGCTACATCTTTATCTCAGGGTGCCTTTTCTGCTCTTCCTTATGAATGATTAGAGCATCAGTTGCTGAACCTTTTGGTCTCAGGACCTTGTTATACTTTTAAAAATTATCAAGGAATGGGCCAGCTAGGTGGCGCAGTGGATAGAGAGCACTGACCCTGAAGTCAGGAGGACCTGAGATCAAATTTGGCCTCGAGACACTTGCCACTTACTAGCTGTATGACCCTAGGCAAGTCACTTAACCCCACTGCCTAGCCAAAAAAGAAAAATTATCAAGGACCCCAAAGATATTTTTGTTTAGATGGGTTATATCTATCAGTATCTGCTGTGTTAGAAACTAAAACATCTTAGTATTATTGTGAAAATAGCTTTGACCTCACAGGAACCCCTCAGAGGCCCCAGACCACACTGGAGAACTTCTGGTTTCGAGGAATTGATGGGATTTTTTTCCCCCACCCCTGGCAGGTCTGGATGCAGGGAAGATCAAGCAAGTGGGGACCATTGGTGGCCAGGAAAGTACCCGCCGTATCGGGGATTACAAGATCAAATACAGCTACAGTGACATCGAATTGCTCAGGTAAGAAGCTCTGCCTCTGACCGGTCTCTGCATCACACAGCCTGGGGGCACTGACTCTGGCCCGTGTGGGCAGGGCCACCAGGCCGTGCCGTCCAAGGACCGGCCGGAGGATGTGGGCCGCTGACCCTGAGGACGTGGACTGGAGAGGGTGCAGCAGAGCCGTCTGCCAGCAGTGATGATTTGTTCTGTGTGGCCCTGGAGGCCGGGCCGAGCCCAGGGCCAGGAAGGCCTTGCAGCAGTGAGCACTGCCCCAGAGTGGTATGAGCTGCCTCCCGTGGGTAGAAGCGGGGTGTGCAGGGGCCCCTCCCCCGAGGACCGCTCTGCAAGGCCCAGGACGGCCTCTGGCCTCCTCAACCCTTTAGCTTGAGTTGCTGCCCTCACCAGCTCCATCGCCTCCTCCTCCCCTCCTCCCACGTCCTTCCTTTGCTCTTGTTTGGGGGACGACCAGCCTGAAAGCATTAAACCTTCTCCCGGCTCTCTCCCGACAGTGCTGCCAAGTCGAAGCCGATCATCGCTGAGCCAGAAATCCATGGAGGGCAGTCCCTGGAGGGCGTCAGCGGCTTCCTGGTGCTGATGTCTGAGGGGCTTTACAAAGCCCTGGAGGCGGCCCACGGGCCAGGGCAGGCCAATCAGGTGAGCCCTCCCCTGACTCCATGCTTGGTGAGGGGTGTCCAGCTTGGAGCCTGGCCGAGCTGCTTCGGGGCGGTGTCAGGCTGGTGCTGAGTGACCTCAAGCCAGCCTGGCGGAGCTGCTTGGTGCCCTGGTGGCCCACAGAGGACAGTGGGAGTGGTGTTTGGAAAAGCGGCCTAGCAGGGCCCATTCCTAGGGTCATCCGTATTCTCTGTGACCAGCCCCCATCCCTGGGCTGGTCATACACACACACACACACACACCACACACACACACACACACACACACACACACACGAGACAAGGAAGTGAAACCCACAGCTCTGGGGTGAAGCAGGGGTGCCACGTAAGAGGCTCTTCCTGGGCCCGAAGAACTTAGAGATCAAAGAGACACCAGGCAGGTGGGGCTCACCCTTTGTCCTGAACACCGGGGAGAGGCGGGCTGGGGTGCTGCGGTCCGTCCCCTCTCCTGGCCTCGAATTGCTCATCTGTAGAAGGGGCTAATACTACTCCTGCTTCCCGCTTTATGGGGGCTCTTGTAAGGGACTCACTGTCCACCCTACCGAGACACCTGAAGGGGAGCAGGCGGCCCCCGCAGCCAGGGCCCTGGGCAGACCTGGAGAGTTGCTTGGGGCATTCAGAGAGGAGGACAGCCAGCCAGGACCCCTCCAGGAGGCCAGCCTGCCCCATCACATCATTCTTCTGTACGGGTGGGAGTCATGGGGTCAGGATAGCTAGGTTCTTTTCCTAGTCCCATGTGTCTTTAAGCAGATGATGTGTGTATGTGTGCACGTGTGTGTGCGCGTGCATGCGTGTGTGCGTCCCTTCTTTTCCCAGCTATGAAAGGTAAACACAAAATCTCACCTGCAGAATAATAACCCTCAGTCTCTGAATCGTTTCTGTTATCTCGGATTATTACTTGGGTCTGGGCAGGTGTTGTGATCCCCATTACTGATAAGGAAACTGAGGCCCTGGAACCTGGGCTTCTTATCTGGGGTCACAGGAGCCTCCGGGCACAGGGCAGGGCTCCTCCTCATTGTGAGAAGAGCAGGTGGTTAACAAAGCGTTTCCATTTTATGGTGAGGCTGGGGTGGGGGTGGGGGCTGCCCAGCCTCCCATCAGGGTCCGTATCGCCTGGGCCATTGTGCTCCCAGAGCTCCTTTCATCGTCCTGTGTCTGAGGCTTCTCCCTGCCAGGTACAAGGAGTTGTTTAGAAAGGTGGTGGTGGTGGTGGTGATAGCTAACATTTATAGAGGGCTTACTAGGAATCCGCACTATGCTAAGTGCCTTCCAATTATAATATCCTTTAATCCTCACAACAACCCTGGAGTTAGGTGCTATGTTATTATTCCCACTTTTCAGAAATGGAAAACTGAGGTTAAGTGACTTGCCTGGGGTCACACAGCTAGTAAGTGTCTGAGGTCAGATTTGAACTTGGGTCCTCCTGACTCCAGGGCCTGGGCTACCTAGCTGTGAATACCATTTAGGGTATTCAGCAGAGCTGGGGGTGACCCCCTCCCCCAGCCAGCCAGCTTTGACTTGGGGGCTCTTCTCCTCGATTGGAGGTGACAGCTGCTCTTTGCTTCGCTTTCGCCTGGGTCTCCTCATGCTTCTTTCTAGGAGATTGCGGCGATGATTGACACGGAGTTTGCCAAGCAGACCTCCCTGGATGCGGTGGCCCAGGCCGTGGTGGACCGGGTGAAACGTATCCACGGGGACACCTTTGCCAGCGGTGGGGAACGTTCGGCGTTCTGCCCCCGGCACGAGGACATGACCCTGCTGGTGAGGAACTTTGGGTACTCGCTGGGCGAGATGAGCCAGCCTGCCCTGACCCCAGCCCAAGGTACGCCTGCCGGTGGTGCCCAGCAGAGGCCCATGTCCGATGGAGATGCAGGATTCCCTCCCTGTCCATGTTCAGGCTTCCCCGGTGCTCTTCCTCGGCTCCAGGCCTGGCCCCCTCAGGTCTCCCGAGCCCAAGGTCTGAGCTCTTGCCCCTGCCCTGTGAAGCTGGGGTGTTGATCTTGTTTTGGGAACCCATCCGTTGACTTTTTGACAGATTATTACAGGCCGGTAGCATCTCAAGAGGTTCGTGTTACTTCTCTGGCTCTAGACCTGAGGCTTTGAAACTCGGGTGGGGTTAGTGGCACCATGGGCACCTGCACTGGGGCGGGGGAGCTCTTCTCAGCCCATTTCACAGATGGGGTCACTGGTGTGCATTTATGTGGGCCTTTGGGCGCCGACCTCCTGGGATCCTCCCTACCTCCCTGAGGGTGCTTAGGAGGGGGCCCCAGCTAGTCAGTGTCCGAGTTCCTCCCGACTCCCTGTGGTGCCCCCCAGTGGGGCCTCCCCCAGCCCATCCCTTGTAGAACCTTCTAGACCCTCGTCCATGTTTGTCCAGAGTGGTCGGGCCGTCCCTGCCACCGTGCGGGGGGCGTGACCCGCTCATCTTCTCTGCTCCACGTCTGTCCGTTGTTCCTCGTCCGGCTCAGGCCCTCTTGGGAATGGTCAGTTTCCATTTTCGGAGGCGGGCGAGCGTTCCGTGCCTCGCTCTGGGTGGGAGGCCATCTTGGAGCTCCTTGCCAGCCAGGGAATTGCTTGCATTTTGCCCGTCTTTATGACAGCCCTGCGGTCATCTGCCTTCATGTGGGAGAGCTCAGGGCCAGCCGTGTGGGGGGGGCCATCTCTGGTCCTCAGCGTCTCAGCCAGTAAAATGGAGACACTGTCAGCTTATGTGTGCACCTTGTAAGGTCACTGTAAGAATCCTAAGACACTTGAGTCAGGGAGGAGCCTCTTGTAAACCAGCTCTTGGGGTGTCCTGACTTGTTTAGCAGCTCTGAGGCCCCCAGAGCATCACAGGGCAGCCGGGGCTCTGCTCTAGGCTTCTCTCCTCCATGCCTCGTGCTCTTGGTGGGTCCGACACAGTGGTGGGTGTGAAGCACCCTGGGAGCGCTGGGTGAGGCTGCGGGGATCAGGGGGCTCCTGATGCTGGAGGTCCTCAGAGCCAGGACTGGGGGCACGTGGGGCTCTTGGCTGCTGGGAGCCGGCACCAGCCATCTCGGTGGCTGTGGGGACCATCAGAGTGAGTCAGATGTAGATGGGGTACAGTGGCAGGGGTGCGCTTCCCCATCAGCATCCCCTGGGTGGTCACCTCTCAGGCCACAAGGGCCCTGACCCTGGGGCCTGAGAGTGGGGGAGTGCGGGTGAGACTGCTGACAGACAGAGGAGAGGGCTGGGCAGAGGGAGCCCTGCCGGAGACCCGGGCTCAGGCTTTGGGCGTCTTTGTTCTAGGAGGACGCGTGTGTCCCGTCTCGGTGCCTTACTCCAGCGCCCAGAGCACAAGCAAGACCAGCGTGACGCTGTCCCTAGTTATGCCCTCCCAGGGACAGATGGTCAATGGTGCCCACAGCGCTTCCACCCTGGATGAGGTGACGCCCACCCTAACCAAGTACGTGCTAGCCTATGTCCAGGCCCGTCCCAATCCCGGAGGAAGCCTTCTCCCATCCCTGGCCGCTGCTCCGGCCCCAGCTCCCTCCTCCCAGGGCTGGACCACCACAGGCAAAGCGTTTGGGAATGGAGTGAAGGCTTGGCCTAGCTTGAGACACACAGCACGGCCTTAGGCAGTGGTTTCTCCTAGTTTTCCCTGAGTATTTTCTGCCTGTGGTCCCATGATAAAGGGACCAGGCGTGTAGGCAGCGGTCTGGGCTTGATTTGGGGCCTGCTGGCTGGCCTGCTGGCTGATCTGCTGCTGTGGAATCTGGGGCCTCTGACTTGGCAGTGACAGCTCTGAGCTTAGATAAACAGTCGCTGAGCAAGTCTAGGGGATGGGGCAGGGATCGGGGCATGAGGAAGGGGCCCCTCACAGCGGCAGACCTGTCCAACAGGTTTCTTTCAGTCCAGCCTCCTGCCCAGCATGGAATGTATATTCAGATGCTCAGGCCAGGCTGGCTACCCAGTCTGCTTTCCACATTCCAGTCCCTTACTGAATAAGAGAGATGCGGCCCCCAGCCCACTCTGGGATGGTGGCCTCTGCCAACTAGCTCACAGTGGGATGCCGCCATTGAAAAGGACATCTGGGCGGGGAGTGGCCAGGTTTCCCTCCTCTTTTTCTTGTGTGTCCCTAGGGCTCTTGCCTTGTCTTCCTCCACGTGTGGGGGGGGCCTCCTAAGAATAGTGTCCCCAGACCGTCCTGGGCTCTGTGTGTAGAGGGACAGTCCCCAGGGCATTTGCACTCCCTTCCCCCCCAATCCCCTCTGACTGGGTAGTCTCTGGGGTGGTCCTGGGATTGTCTGCCATCAAAGAAGGTAGAATGTGGTGGGAAGAGCATTTAGATGGGTGAGGAAACCTGACTTCTCTAGGAAAAGTCCATCAGTTCTGCCATTTTGGTCCCCTCCTCCCACTTCCCTTCCTCTGTGAGGTTACAAATGCTTGGAATTCCTTTAGGGAGGACCCTGGGAAAGCATTAGGCCATTTCATCGCAGCTGGGGAGGCTTGGGTTCTGCGTGCTGCAGAAGGCCCGCATTGGGAAAATGGGTTCATCTCTTGTCCTGTTGTCTTTGCAGCCAAAGCCCGACCATGACCCTCCAGTCCACCAACACTCACACCCAGAGCAGCAGCTCCAGTTCTGATGGGGGTCTCTTCCGCACCCGCCCCTCCCACTCCCTGCAGCCCGATGAGGACGGTCGGGTTGAGCCCTATGTAGACTTTGCCGAGTTTTACCGTCTCTGGAATATGGACCATGGGGAGCAGGGGGCCCTTCCAGTGTCTTAGTGCCAAAGAGCACGGCTCCCGGAAGGAAAAATGGCCCGGGTATGTCCACCTGGGGCCTGCTGTTAGGCCCTGCCTCCCCAAGGCTTGGGCCTGTCCCTGGTGAGGCGGTGGCCCTCAAGTCCCACGAATGAGCTCTGCAGGAAGACTGGACATTGGGAGCAAATAGCTGCCCCCCCCCGAAGCCTGGCATTTCTGGGGACCACCACCTTTCTGTCTCCCAATAAATATAACTTGTACTGTCTCCTGCCTCAGGCCCGTGTGGGTCTGCCTCCACCCCCCAGGAGGTGCCATTGTCCCCCAGAGCAGGCAGCCCTTGGGGTGCCCCTCTGCAGTTCCAGTCCAGTCCTCCATCTCTCGGTTCTCATTTGAAAGAGGGGAGCCAAACATGCCTATATTTTTATCCCCCCAAAGCAAACTCCAGCCAGGTCCCTGCTGGGCCCTGGGGGTCAGTCTGCATTTGCTGGGGCAGGCGCTGGCATGCCAGTTGGGCCAGGGAAGTGAGCACGTTTCCATCCAGCCATGGAGCAGTGAGAGGGGGAGCCTGGGGCACTAGCAAGAAGGGATGGGAACAAACCAGAACCAGGCTCGAGCCAGTGACCAGGCTGACCACCTCGGGGTCCCTTTGACTCTTCCCTCCCTCTCCTCCCACATCCGTCCGTTGCCAAGGTGGTTTGATGCCCCCTCCACCGTGGCAGCGTTCCTAGTGCATGCCCTCCCCACTGCTTATGTGGACTGTCATGACAGGCTTCCTCCCCCTACCTGGCCTCCCTCTCCAGGCCACCTTCCACACAGCTGCCCAAGTTACCTTCCTGGTGTGTGGCTGACTGTCCCACCCTCCTCAAACACCTTCCATGTCTCCCTAGTGCCTCCTCAGTGTGGCTCTGACTCCCAGCCCTCCTTCCAGCCTTAGTTCACACTTCTCCCCGGTCGTGTCCCAGCCCAGCTGGGCTAGTTACTCTTCCTGGCATTCAGCCCCTCTTGGCCCACCTCCTTGTTTTTGTGCAGGCCCCCTAGACTCCTCTTCTTTCAAGGGTCAGCTTTGGGGCCTCCTCTGCTGGAAGCCTTCCCTGAGCCTTCTGCTCCTCCCAAGCTCTTCCTGTCCTCACATACTCCTTCAAACACCCGGACGTTGTCATCCCCAGCCCCCATGTCACACCTGTCAGCAGGCATGTCCTGTCGCCCCCATAAGATGGCAAGCTTTAGGTCAGGGACCGGTGGTTTTCTGCCTCCGTATCCCATGATTACCACAGTGCTTTGCCCTTTTTTTTGTCCAGATATGTGACTTCATTAGTGTTAGGCAGGCCTGTTTTTAAAAATATTTCTACTTATCTGTATTTTCAGTTCTGTGTTTTCTCCCTCCGCTGCCTTCCCCCACCCATTGAGAAAACAAGAAATACAATACCCATTACACAGACAGGCATGCAGACATTTCTGGATTAGCTATGGAGAACAGCAGTTTCAGACTTTTTTGTTTTGAAACCCCCTTATATGCTTAAAAATTATTGAGAACCCCTCACATTCTTGTGGTTTATTTCCTTCTGCATTTACCACATTCAAAATTAAAATGTATTCATATTATTATGGAAATGGTTTTGATCCTGAGGGCCCCCTGAAGGGGTCTCGAGAACCATCCCCAAGAGTTGCCCTTTAAGGACCCCAATGTAGGAAATCCTTGGTGAGGAGATTCTTCTTGAGCAGCCATCCTGCAAGTTGGTCATGGAGACTTTCCTGGGACCCTGAGAGATTAAGTGATTTGACTAGGGTCTCCCGGCCAGGATAGGTAAGAGATGGGATTTGAACCCAGGTTTTCTTGACTCAGACCAGCTCACTCTGGCACTTAGTAGGTCCTTTATGAATGTTGGCTGAATTGGGCCCCAGGGCCTGGTAGGAACTTATGGTCATAGAGGCTGTGGGAGAATTAGCCTTGCAAATCTCCCCTGCTGCCTCTTCCCAGGAGAGCTGAGGCCTCACCCCAGAGGAGTGCGACCAGCATGACTGGTTCCTTGTTTTGCAAATGCTTGGCAAGGATTCCCCAAACGTGTTGCAAGACGGCAGCAATCCAAGGGAACGCTAATCTGACCAGTCTCCCGCGGGGTGCCCTCAGACTTGGGGCATGGCGTTCAGTTCGCGGGGCAGGGGCCACAGGGCCACAGATATGCACCGTAGCATCACTGCTTCTTTATTTTAAACCACGTTACCCTTTCCCATAGTGCTCGAGTTAGGAAGTCACCAAAGTCGACGTTTTTAATGACTCGATGCCAGTCACCAGCCTCAGTTTCCTTGTGTGTACAGATAATTTCCTAAATACCTTCCAGCTTTGGTAGTCTCTGTTCTATCCCTGCAGGTGACCTGTTGACTTAGAAAAACACAAACAAACGTTACCTACGTTGTATTATAGGGGTGCCTAGATGGTGCAGCACATAGAACACCATGCCTAGAGTCTAGAAGACAAGTTCAAGTTTGACCTAACACTTACTAGCTGTGTGACCCTAGGCAAGTCGGTTCACCCCAGTTGCCTCAGTTTCCTCATCTGTAAAATGAGCTGGAGAAGGAACTAGTGAACCACTCCAGTATCTCTGCCACAAAAACCCCCAATGGGGTCACAAAGAGTCAGACATGACGGAAACGACTGAACAGCAGCAGTATATTTTGCTGTTGGCCAATTACATTTTAGTCTGATTTAGGCTGCTCCGGGGAGTTTTGCCGGCCACTGCTGGCCACTGGACCTTGAGTTTGACACCTGTGCTAGGGTCCTTCCCAGACCTTATATTCTGTGTTCTAAGGGTTTTTCCAGCTCTGATGTTCCGTGATCACTACAATCATTGCAGATGAGGCTGCATATAACTCCCTGAGATGTGAGGACAATTTGAAAAACTGCTCCAAATCCCAAATGAACAATTTCAGAGGCTCCCTAGGAGACTTACAACCTGGGGTCATTCTGAACCTGTGCCCTCTCATGTGCCCTCTCATGATCTCTGTAGATGCCCCCAAACGGCCCACGTGGTTTTTGATTTAGCTTTCCCTTAAATGGCACTAGATATTCCTCCCACCACAAAGTGTCTCCTAACCCTGTGTGGCAGGGACGGCTGCAGTATTGGGGCAAGGGGCAGGGAATATTAAGAATTGGACTGTCTGCAGAGTAATCTCAACATCACTTATGTGTCCCACAGCATCCCTCCTCCTCCTTTCCAGAGAGCACTTAGAGGTCTGAATGTGAGAGCCTTGTCCAGTGATTAATGGGTGGGTGTGTTGCTGAAGGAACGGAATCACGTCAGTTGACATTCTTGCTACAAAGAAATAAGGAATTTGCCACTCAAGAGAAAGATGGCTCACCGGTCGTCCTTGGAGTGAGGATCATAGGAGTTGGGGGAATCAGGTTTATTCTCTATCCAAAGACAAGAAACATTTCCTGGGATATCTAGCTGGTCATCTCATAGTGCATAATAATGACAAGTATTTGCCAAAACACCACCAATGAAAGTTACACACCAACCTAGGGCCACAGAGCAATTGAATTTCACTCAAAGCCATCTAAAAATTTCTAGCCTTGCCACAGATTTGACTTAGGATCATGTCTTTAAAATTGAAAAGGGATTGAGTCCTGGGCCCATCTTCCTGAGTTCAAATCCAGCCTCAGACATTTACTCTCAGTGTGACTGTGGGCAAGTCACCTAACAACCCTGTTTGCCTCAGTTTCCTTATCTGTAAAATGATTTGGAGAAGGAAATGGCAAACCCGCATCTTTGCCAAGAAAACTCCACGTGGGGTCACAAAGACTAAGATATGACTGGAGAATGACTGAAAATATATTTTATTTTGTTAAATATTTCCAAATTATATACATTGGGTTTTGGGTTTTTTTTTTCTTTTTGGTGAGGCAATTGGGGTTAAGTGACTTGCCCAGGGTCACACGGCTAGAAAGTTTCAAGTGTCTGAGGCCACATTTGAACTCAGGTCCTCCTGACTCTATAATCTGGCTCAGCTCTGCACTCTGGGGTGTTGTCTGCAATAATAGTTGTGTTTGACACCTCTCTGGTATAGTGGATAGAACCCTTGACTTAAAGTTAGGAAGATCTGAGTTCAAATCCTGTTTCCGACAACCACTAGTATTTCCCTTCCTGCTGCCTTCACCCGAAATCTAGCTCTGTCAAGGCTGGGAAGTTGCAGAGGCTGGTCTCAGGTGAATGTCAGGAAAAACTCCCTAAAAGGGCTGTCCCCAAGTGGAATGGGAGGCCTAGGTAGGTGGCAGGAGGGCATCCCCCCAAGGCTAACCACTCATTTAATCTGGTTTGGATGGATGTTGGACTGAATGACCTTCAAGGTCACTGTCAACTCCATGAGTTTGGGTCTCTGCCATAACCCCCTGTGCACTGCTACAATGTCACAGGGGCCATGTCCCATCCACCCTGGCTTGACTCTCCACCAATGCCTGGCCCAGTGCTCATCTTGACATCTAGAATGGACCTGAGGTCAAAGAAAGAACTGAGTTCAAATTCTTCCTTAGGCACTTACTAGCTATGTTACCCTAGGCAAGTCACTTAACCTCTGTTTTGCTCATCTGTAAAATGAGGATAATAATAGCACCTGCCTTCCAAGGTCATTGTGAGGATCAAATGAAATCATACATGTCAATCCTTTTGTAAACATTAAAGCACTATGTAGATATTAGCTTAAACTATTAGGTGTGTTCATAGTACTTAAAGCAATGACCTTCTAATTGTTTTACTGTTAACTAGCACTATTAATTTAAGAGAAATAAACAATAGAGATAATAAATAATAATTCTTACAGCAACATAATTATTGATATCCTCAAATTATTGTTAAATGTTAGTTGCTTTGAAATGATGGATATCGAGTAGAAGCAGTTAAAAAGGGGGAATGCGCCTCCTAGGTTAGTGCCTAACACCCCCAAGAAGTATTCAGCCTGCGGCAATTTGGAACCAAGGAAGGAAAGGCTGACATTCTCTTCACGGACTATCGGATTTGTCTCCAACACGAAGGAAGAGTTATTAGCAAGCCATGGGGCCAACCTGGAGGAGGATGAAGGAACCTGGAAGAAATCTAACCTGATTCCATGCTGCAGAGTCCCCGGGGCAAATAAAAACAACCCTCATTTCCCCCTACCCCAAACACAGTCAATGACTGTTTACCCAGATGAACCAGTCCACCCTTCAGGCTGTCATTGGATTTAATCTAGGAGTATTGACACTTGGGAGGAGGGGAGGATAAAAGTGAATACATGTAAACACCAGGTAATTTAAGCAAAGAGACTGCGCTCACCCCTGGGGTGGTATCAGGAAAGGCTTCCCGAATGAGAGGGCCTGTGATCTGAGCCTTGGAGCATGGAGGGAAGCTAGGGATTCTAAGCTTTTAGCACAGGGTACGAGTAGCCAGGGGGTGGGATGAGGCAGCTGTGAATGGTTTCCTTCCATCAGCCCTGCATCCTTAGATTGGGAGCTCCCTGAGGGCAGGGACCATGTTTTTTACCTTTCTCTGCCTGGCACACAGTAGGTGCTTCATAAATACTCGTTGACTGACTTGACTCTGCACTAGTTCATACAAGTCTTCTCACGTTGCCTCAACCATCCTTTTCATTATCTCTTATGGCATAATGATATTCCATTTCATCTATATATCATAATTTATTTAACCATCCTCCAGCTGATCGGCCCTCCTTAGTTTCATAGAACCACTCTCTTCAAGAGAGGTGCTCAAGGACCACCTTTACATGAAGCCTTTATTGATTCCTTCAAGTGCTGCTGTCCTTCCTCCCAAATTGCCTTTGAAATAATTGATTCTCTTTATAATTATTTTGCATAAACATGTCTAGCCTTGATTTCTCTCCTTTTAGAATATAAGTTAGTACAGAGTGGGAGTTTCAGTCACTGTATTTGTATCTTCCTTGCCCAGCACGATAAAAGCTTACCTGGCCAATTGAGTGATAAAAAAGTGCTGGTTACCTTTGTACTTAGAGATCCCTTCTTCTTTCTCTGATCTCCTTGAGATCCATGCCTAGCAGAGACATAATTTAGTTATTTGGGGGATATGGACTAGATTGCTTTCCAGAATGGTTGGCCCACTTCACAGCTCCACTAACAGTGCATTAGTGTGCCTGCCCTCCGATAGCCCCGTCAACAAGTGTCTTTTTCTGTTTTATGAGCATGACTATTTCAAAGGCATGCAGATAGGAACCTTAGTCTCCTCCTCTATAGAATGACGCTTTCTCAAGTCCTTCCTGGTGCTAATATTAGGTGAGTCAACAAAGACCTGCGCAAAATAATGCTGCTCTAACAATCTGTGATCCAATGATTAACTTTTATAACCAGGTTCCCAGGCAAAGCAAGGAGCTGGGGGCAGGGTGGGAGGAGGGGGGAGGATGCATTTTTTTGTTTCTACAGACTGACCAACCTTC